CCCTGTGCCATGTTGAATAGAAGTGACGGTAGCAGACATTATATTTTATTCCCAGTCTCCAGAGGGAAGTTGAAACATTTCACCACTAAGACTGATGTTATGGGGTTTTGGTTCTTATTAGGTTAAGTTTGTCTATCAGTTTACTTTCTGTATGGCTAAGACTTATTAGTCAGAGTGTTAAAAACTTGAGGATTCATAAATAGACCATGCATATAAGGCCCCTCGACTTATGACAAGGGTGCCACTTCCCTGAAGTGGGAAAAATGATTTTTTTAAGTAAATGATGATTGATCAATCGAATATAAATATGAAACAAACAGCCCCATTTTACGTTGTAAACAATGTAAACAAAAACTATTCCAGGGAATATATACCACAATGCAGAAGATTAAACAACAAAGCTTCCAAAGATGACCTAGAATACTACCTTCTTGACTTTGGTGTGGGCAAGATTTCCTAAACAGGACACAGAAAACACTAATCAGAAAGAACAGCTCTTCATCAAAGAGAGAGAAAAGGCCAGAAACTGACTGGAGTAAGATATTTACAAATAACCAATAAAGCACTATACCTAGATATACCAAAAACTCTTCAAAATCTGTAAAAAAAAAAAAAGAAAAGAAAAGAAAAGAAAAAACAAAGTCAGACAACCCATGTTAAAACACGGTCAACAGACTCGAACAGGTCCTTCTCAAAGAAGATCTCCAAAAAGGCTAACAGACATGTGATCTCAGTCTACAACCACAGAACGGAAAAACGAAAAGAAAAAGAAACCAACGTGCCAGGTGTTGGTGAAGATGGGAAGGTCTGTGTTCTCAGGCAGCATCTGCCCACAGTTCTTCAGGCCCCAGGATTTCAGTGCCTGCTAACCTGACCTCCAGAAGCTGGCCCCTGTATCTCGCTCTAGGGCCTCTGTTCTCTGGGCTCTAGAACAGGTCCGTCTGTAAGAGAAGCCGCCCAGAGGTGTCAGGAATAAACACCCCCCAGGAGCAGCTGTAAGCCAAAACTTACTGTGGTGGTGTTTAAATATCCCAACCCCCTTCCCGTCGGTATGTGTTGTAGACCATTGCAGAGGTGTCGGTGGGCTTGGTCTCCCCTTGCCCACTGTGGTACTTGCTTTATCACAGGCCCTGTATTGGTTCCCTTCCCTGTTTCACTTCCCTACTCTCTGCCATGATTTTGGAGGGGGGCGGGCATCTCCCAAATAAACCACTCACACTCAAATTCTCACCTCAGGGTCTACATCTGGGGAAACCCCAATGAAGATATATGTTATACTCCCATAAAAATGTTTCCTTACTAGAAAAGGACATGGGAGATAGCTCTTGATCTGGGGGGATAACATTAGTTAATATTTCTTAGCATAGATTGCTATACAGCAGGATATAGCTCACCACTATTCTCAGTGTAAAAAGTGTACTTGTCACCCACATGGATGGACGTTCGATCATATGGTCAGAAACCTTGCTGGAAGTTCTCCACAGTTTATCTCACTGAATTACTGTCTCTGTTTTATTGACGTGGAAGTTGAAAATCACACATGTGAAATAAGTCACTCAAGATCACATTACAGTTCCGGGATGAATTAGAAGGTCTTGGGCCAGACAAGCCACTGTGACGTTGACCAGATTGTGAAGAGGCAGGATGAGAATTTGGGAGAAGGCACTTCATCTTCTCGGTGGGAAACCAAGTAACGTAGAAACCAGAGGGATGCAATGACCAGCTCCTGTGGGCATCCCTCTGACTTCAGGCTGGAAGGTGGGCTGGGGGGTGGGGGGAGGGCAGAGGCAGGGTGGCCCTTTAAGGGAGCCTCTGCGGTAATCCGTGACTGAGACTGGGAAGGGCTGCAGTCGGGGCTGCGGCCACAGGGACGGCAAGGAGAGGGAGGGGTTCACACGTCTTAGAGACCAACTAGATGTAGGGGGTTAAGGAGGCAGCGGGACAGTTTCTTGTTTCAGATGTCGTTTTGAGTGTCGGCTGGTGACTTGAATATTTTTACTGAGGTCTCTTCTGCGAGTCATTGTTCTTGTAGCCGGGTCCCCCTGGTGGCGAAAGAAACCGAAAACGGGATTTCTCACCCTGGGTACCTGCTACGAGGGGAGATGGCTGGGCAGGAGCCTAGTTACACGGCCCTAGGATAGGGATTCCTTCCTTTTCTCATGGTGGCAAAGAGCCACATAGAAAAATAACTGAGAGCCAGGGGGGCGGAGGGTTAGGGAGGGTGGTCCACTTCTAAGCTGGGTAAGTTTCTGGGGCTGTAATACACAGCATGCGGACTTCAGTGAATAACTCTGTATCGTATACTTGAAAGCTGCTAAGAGAGTAGATCTTAACAGTTCTCCACACACACACACACACACACACACACACACACACACACACACGCACACACACACCCAGAACCCTGTACAGTGATGCATTTGTTAACTATACCTGTTGTGGTAATCATTTCTCAGTTCATAGGTGTATCAAATCGTTACGTTGTATACCTTAAACTTACACAGTGTTGTGTGTCAATTATATCTCAGTAAAGCTGGGGGGAAAGGGGGAAAATCTTCCTGAAAAAAAAAAAAAGGCCAACAAGAGCTGAGAGCTGAGAGGTCAGAAAATGGGGCCGACAGCGCCCTTCCCCACTCAGGCAGGTCGCCGGCAGCCACTACTCAATCCAGGAAATCTCTGTGCGCCTGGGAGAAGCCCTTGTCTGGTCTTGGTGATGCAGAATCCAACAGGCATCAGGACTCCCCCCGGGGAATATTGATTGGATTGCTTAAGGGCGCAGGAAAGAGGAGAGACTTCAAGGCCAGGTGCACCTGCGCTTGAATGCTGGCTTGGCCCCAAATCTGTTTCTTCCTCTGTGGATCGTATGTGACAGGCCCAGGTGGTTGGTTGTGAGGTGTGTAAGGCACTAGCTCTGAGCACCCTCACCAGCTGGAGCATGAGGAGGACGGAGCCTAAGAGATGCCCCACGGGGGTCCTTTAGGCAGTTAGCAGAGTCTCAGGGATCCACGTGGATTCGTCAGTGTGCTGATACAAAGGGGGAGCCCAAAGCCGACTCCAAAGATTGCTAAGCTGTCCAAAGCCCCCAGGGCCAAGCAATGCCTCCAAACAGACAAGACAGCACCCACCAGAGGGACTTCTCGCTCTGTGCCTCGGGAAGAGCCCTTGGAATAGACAAGGGACTTTCTCAGACAGGTACATTTGAACGGGCCTGAATCATCACCTCAGATGAGCTGTTTCAGAAACTTTCCATTTTAGGCTTTGGGCATGTTCCTGATGACGTATAAATTGTGCTTGCTGTATAACTAACCGGTGAGTGTAACCAGAGTCACATGAGGCCAGGTCGGAGGAAAGAGCCCAGCACAGTTGTGCCTGGCGGGTCCCCGTACTTTCTTGGCTTACCTGGGCATTATGGCGTGTTTTGTCTCTCATGCTGTAAACAGTGATGAGAAACGGTCCGCTCCGTGGGGACCAACAGTACACGAGGCAAATGGCAGATCAGGTATTTTATCCATGTGCCCTGAAAGTAACTTCCTAATGGTCAGAATATAACCATCAAAACAAAACAAAACAAAACACTTCTTTATTGCACCACGCACGGACTGTATTATATTGAATAACAAAAGGGTTTGACAAGATTAATCATTTCTGATATATCTCACAAGGAAAACAGGGAGGTTTTCTTCTTGTCTGATTTCCCCCCATCACCCCGTATCATATCGGATGCCATCTTCTTATTAGCTCTTTTGATTTTAAATTGTTTTTTAAGAGGATATAACAACTGGTGTTTTGTACTTTTTCCACAACCTGCCAGATGTTGGCAGGGGTGGGTGGCAGTATGCGGAATAAACTTGTACAAATGAGTCTGCCTTTGAGTATAATTTTCAGTGCCCACCTCTAAGAGGTAGATGCCAGAAAGCTTACTCAGTGAGGGAACAGGTATCAAAACCAGTGGTCCCCATATTGATTCTCTGCAGACCCTCCCCTTCAGCTCTCTGTGATTTCAGGGGATACTGACTTTACCTCAGCCAAGGCTGGCCAACACTCCTGATTCAAGTGGTGGGTGGGACATTTCCCTTACAGTCTGGGGTGAGGCTGAATCATTCCAGAGTGTGAAAAGGCAAACAGAGGGCATCTTCCACCTGGCTGGGGAGGCCCCTAGCAATTCTGCAAACTTGGGGGGCAGAAGGGAACTTATGAGTTCTTGCTAATTGACAGCCGAGTCCTGTCTTAGAAACCAAAGAAGCTGAGAAAAAAATTGTATTCTAAAAAGCTATCAAAAGATAACTTAATGAAAATATTTTAAAATATTTAATTGCTCTTTATTCTTTACTTAAATGCTCAACTCAATAAAATATGATTTTATATTTAGTTTTGAACTATTTTTTCTAGCAATAAATGTTACCCTTCTAATTCTTTAAACTTTTAAATTCCCCAAATAAGTTCTCCTTTGCTATACTTGGGCAGGATTTTGGCCAGATTAAAAATGGGTCTTTCTATATAAGGGCTGCAACAATTAGATCTACATGAATATATTAGTATTTGTGTAGATGTAATTGTCTTAACTCAAAGAGCTCCCAAGCGAATGAGACTGAGATGCATAATAAGTAAAGAGATGTGTTAATCTGTGTGTGTGTGAATTGGTGTCGTGAAAAACTCTACATGCGCACATTTGTTTGCAGGGCATATGGCTCCTGTGTTTGGGAGCCATCTGGGTTGAGACCAGGCCCTTCCCGTGTAGGGTTAGTGTCCTGGCTCAAAGCCATGTGAAGCCGTAACTGACTGTGCTGGGTGTTCACATGGCCAGCAAAAGCCAAAGCAATGCCCCTTCCTACACACTCTTGTCTCTCCCCTCATCTTTGCTGTAGTCTCCAAATGCATGAACCATATGGCCAGGTAACAATTTAAATCAAAACAATGCGTTAAAACCAAAAACCTTTGCGTCAGAAAACCTTAAGCAGGGCAGTTGGAGAGCTCGCTGTCCGCAGTGAGCTGGCCCTTACCTTTCGATGTCCCCAGAGCTGGTTCCCTTTCATGCCGTGACAGTCATACAGAGTGACTGGGCTGCTATGGGAGATGGCGTCGAAGCAGAATTTTCGGGTGTGCAGGGGCTCACCAGGCCGAATATCTTCTCTCCAACCAAAGGTGAAGAGCTAGCAAAGCAACAATAGCGGAAAAGCTACAGTGAGTTGAATTTGGAGAGATTCGGAAGCAGGGGGAGGTATGTCTTTTAGCTGCAAAGAACTCCTGCTTCGTGATTTACAAGAAAAGAACTATGTCTTAGCATAATAGGGGCACTGAAAAAGGCATGGATGCTAATGCCCTGTAGCAACACCAGAAGCACTTTTGGCCCAGCCTGGCCAGAAAAGCAAATGAAGTGTTTCTGTTTAGATAGACAGAGAGAGAGAGAGAGAGAGAGAGAGACAGACAGACAGACAGAGGGAGACAGGGACAGAAAGAGGGGAGAAACTTTTTAATGACGTTCTTTATCTTCTTCATTTAGATAAAAAAAATTAGTGGGTTAAATGTTACACAGTTAGCCTAAATGAGCAGATTAACTGAGAAAAGACAAGGAGTAGGCTTGAACTGGATGGATGCCAGCAACCTGAAAATTTTGATTTAAGTGAAAGCTAAGCTTGATGAAGTAAAGAATAGGCAAATTGATTTCCTGGAGTTGGTAAGAGTAATCCTGCCGGGCAGTGTAGAAAGTTTTGGACTGTGACTCCAAGTAAGAGATACAGTTTGCAAACACACATAGATCCCCTTTCCCCCAACTGAAAATGGAAATTTCATGAAATATTTGTCCTCAATGCATTTAATAGACTCTGATATTCCATCCAAACTTTTCCTGTCTTAGTCTAATCTATTCCATCCATCCATTCTATTATTTTATTTTATTTATTTTTAATTTAATTAAATTAATATGCTTATTTTTGGGTGCGTTGGATCTTCGTTGCTGTGCGCCAGCTTTCTCTAGTTGTGGCGAGCAGGGGCTACTCTCCGTTGCGGTGTGCAGGCTTCTCATTGCGGTGGCTTCTCATTGTAGTGGCTTCTCTTGTTGTGGAGCACGGGCTATAGGTGCGCGGGCTTCAGTAGTTGTGGCACGTGGGCTCAGGGGTTGTGGCTCGCGGGCTCTAGAGCGCAGGCTCAGTAGTTGTGGCGCATGGGCTTAGTTGCTCTGCAGCACGTGGGATCTTCCTGGACCAGGGATCGAACCCACCTCCCCTGCTTTGGCAGGTGGATTCTTAACCACTACGCCACCAGGGAAGTCCCCGTTCTCTTATTTTAAAAATGTGACTTATGGATGCACTGAATTGATTTTACAGTGTATTAAATTGAAAAAACAACACTTCTCTAAGGAAAGGGTATTTTTTGGAGTCTGAGCTGGATAACCATTTGAGGGGTTCAGTACGAGAAATCCTTAAGTAAGTGGGAAAATGGACTAGATCAGCCCTAGGATTTCTTCCAATTCTAACATCTCAATGTCAGGAGACTCTGTGGATGTAAAAACAAGCACACTGCTGAGCTATAAGCAGACAATACACTCGGCTCTGTCAAGCTGCAGATTACCGCAATTTGGGGGTCCTACCTGGGTAAGAAAATGCAGAGAATCTGGCAAAATTCCAGGGATGGCTAACAAAAACAGTTAAATGGTGGGGAAACTGCAGAAAACTTGAAAAAGCTGGGTTAAGTGATCTGAAGAAAATTGGAAAGAACTCATCTAAATCAAACATATGAAGCCTACTGTCTGAGTTGTGGCAAGAGATTGCATTCTGTTTCCCTGGGAGACACGACAAAATAGGATGTTTTAAATAGAGGAAGGTGTTTTAGGTTAGGCATTTGAAATAGATTCATGAAGAGGAATTGTGTGGTCTCTTTC